CAAGTAAAAGCAGAAAGTATATATATGAAAAAATGTTCCACATCACTGGTCATTCGAGAGATGCAGATGAAAACAACACTGAGATTCCACCTCACCTCACAAAGAATGGCTGCTATCAAGAAATCACTCAATAACAAATGTTGGCAGGGTTGTGTGGAGATAGGAACCCTTCTTCATTGTTGGTGTGAGTGCAGACTGGTGCAACCACTATGGAAATCAATATGGAGATACCTCAATGAGCTGGGACTAGAGGTTCCATTTGACCAAGTTATCCCTCTGTTGGGTATTTTTCCAAAAGAATTAAAAGAATCATATCACAACTATATATGCGCACCTATGTTTATAGTGGCAGAGTTTGTAATACCTAAAACTTTGAAATAGCCCATTTGCCCATCAGTTGGAGACTGGATAAAGATGTGGTTTTTCTATAAAATGGAATACTACTCAGCCATAAAGAATGAGAAATTAATTTCATTCATAGGAAAATGGATACATATTCAGGATATACTCCTAAGTGAAATAAATATGTCATACATGTGCAAATACCGAATAGTTTCTCCGGTGTGCATAAACTGTAATAGTACATAAGATCCTAATGAGATAACTGACATTGTGAAATGGGAAGAAAACGGCTAAAGGTGTAGGGAAAGTGGGAAGTGTACAGGAAAGGTAATAAGGGAAAGAAAAAAATGTGAGAAAATGAAAAGATGGAAAGAAAATGTTTGTAAATGGGGAGGATAGGAGGGATGAAGGGAGGGCAGGGACAAGGGGAAAAAATGAGAACCAAGACCTGTCATGTAAAGGTACAATATCCCAATAGTGAATGTAACTGTACTGTGTAGCTAAAATGTACCAATAAACTAAAAAACAAAACAAAACAAAACCAGATCTGCAAAATTTAAAGACCTAATTCAACAATGGGCATCTGAAATGAATAGACACTGCTCAGATGATGAAGTAGAAATGGCAAATAAAAATATAAAAACATGTCCAACATAACTGGTCATTCACTGCAAATTAAAAGAACAGTGAGATTCCCTCTCACTCCAGAAGGAATGGCTATTATTACAAAAAATATCAACAAATAACAAATGCTGGCAGGGCTATGGGCAAAAGGAACCCTTATATACTGTTAATGGAAGTGTAGACTGGTGCAACTACTGTTGAAATCAGTGTGGAGATTCCTTGAAAAACTAAAATTAGAAGTTCCTTTGAACCAGGTATTCTCTCCTTCCTGGTATCTCTCCAAAATAATTAAGAGCGTCAAACCACAGTGATATATGCACACCTATGTCCATAGTAGCATTTTGTAATAGCTAAATGTTGGAAATAGTACAAACATCCATCAAGCAACAAGCAGATAAAGGTGTGTCCATACACACACACACACACACTCACACACTGAGTACTATTCTGCTACAAAGTAGGATTAAACTTGAGACATTTCTAGGTAAATGAAGGCAGTTTGAGACCATACTCTTAAGTGAAATGTATTGGACACACATGTTCCTATATCCCATGGTTTCTCTGGTATGAGAAACTGAAAATATGAATAAGGACCAAAATGTATAATAGATATTTTGAAGCAGGAATAAAATGTTCAAATCAGAAAGGAAATGGGGGCAGGGGAGGAAGTGAAAAGGAAAAAAAGATAATAAAAGGAAAAACTTGAAACAAAGCTTTTGTAAATAAGGGGAAGAAAGGTTGAAGAGAGGTGTGGGAAAGAAGAAAAATGAATAATCAAGACATATCATGTACAGGTACAAATTCCACATGATCAATGTTAGTTAGCATTTTGTATATCTAAAATATACCAATAAAATTAATTTCAAAAAATGCTGGCAAGGATGTGGAGAAAGGGGAAACTCTCATACACTGTTGTTGGGAACATAAACTATTACAGCTATTATTGAAAAATCTGAAGAATCTTCAAAAAACTATCATATGACCGAAAAATTCAGGGCTGAGGATTTAGTTCAGTGGTTCTGCCACCTGCCTCGCAAGCACAAGGACCCAATTTGATCGCTGGTACCAAACAACAACAACAACAAAAATAAATGCAGCATTGGGATATGTATCCCCCCCCAAAAAAAAGGAATCAAAACATCAGAGATACTGGTACTGTACTTCCATGTCTATTGAAGCTTCATTCCCAATAGCTAACTTAGGAACTCAACCTAGATGTCTATTGATGGATGAATGATTATATAAAGAAAATGTGTTACAAATATACAACAGAAAATCTCATTTAGCCATAAAAAGAGTGAAATTCTATCATTTGCTACAACCCGGTTGAACTGGAAGGTATTATATTAGGTGAAAATAAATCAGGCACAGAAAGATAACAGCACATATTACCACTTATATGTGGAAGCTACAGAGTTGGTCTCAAAGGGGCAGATAATAGAATAGTGGTTATCAGACCCTGGGAAGGGTATGTAACAGGGGGCAGTAGAAAGAAGGGTTACAGGTCCAAGGGTACAGTCGGATAAACAGAGTAACTCGTTATATTCTGTAGCAGAGTATGTATGGCAATAGTTAGCTGAATGATTCAAAATAGTTAGTAGAGAGGATTTTGAATGTTTCCAACACAAAGAAAGATAAATGTCTAAGGGGACAGATAGGCTACTATATTCATTACACATTGTATGCACTTACTGAAATGTCACACCCTACCCCATAAACGTGTACAATTATTGTGTGTAGATAAATTGGATCTTTAAAATTAAAAATAAAAATAGGGTCTGGGGATGAGGCTCAGTGGGAGTGCTTCCCTAACATATGCAAATCTCTAGGTTCAATTATCAGCACTGAAAAATAAAATGAGTGAACAAATGTGCAACTCTTCTATTCCTGCCATAAAGTAAACACCCTACAAAACCATTTTCAGCTGGGTGTGGTGGGGCATCCACCTGTAGGAGTTCAAGGTCAATAGTTGCAACATAATGACACTCCATCTCTGAAACAAAACACACAATCTATTCCATTTTCTACTCTTATAAACATGGCTCCAGGTATTTTTTCCTTTGTTCTTTTAGTGGGTTCAGAGTGAGGGAATCATCTTGGAATGGAGGTTTTCCACTAATCCTCTTTATAACATCTTTATAACATTTATGGATTAACTGTGGTCATTGGAGTAGAAGTGCTTCCCTTCCCTTGACCTAGACACAGAAATTTCAACAACAAAATAAATCTCTTCCTTCTCTTTAACAAGTCAGTCAGATAAATAAGAAAAAATAAAAATTGGCAAATTCTCAATAAATGCTATCTGTTTCATTTATACTCTATTTCACTGACTTCTAATAAGTTTCGAAATACATATTATTTAGTAGACCAAAACAATGTGAATATACTTAAAATATCACCACTTTACCTTAAAAAATAGTTAAAATAATGAATTTTATGTTCTGTATATTCATTTTACCACAATAAAGATTCAAAAATCAAGCTAAATAGTAGAACCTAAAATAAAATCTCATCATTACTGATATTTTGATTGACTGATTAGAGCGGTTGACCAGAAATCCTAGATCAAGCCAATTTATGTCAGTAGTGTTGTATGGATCTCTTCTGTTTTTAACCTGTGCTTTTTGCTTATTTAAAATAAAGCATTCTATTTACAAATTGATTGTACCCTGTCTAGAGCCTATGGCAATGGTATCAAAACTACGGCATGAGTGTTGCTTTTAAGACAAAAGATGTTAATGTATGAGTTGTTTTTTTTTCTAAACTAAAACCTTGGTATTCAGGTTTAATTGCAGTGTTGCCACGTTAAATAAGTGGGTTTTGGGATTGCAGTTTGGGCACTCATCTCTAAAAGTTTCACCATCAATGACCTAGAATTTCAAAATTATTGAGTAGCTTTTCTACTTACACCTTTATTTCTCACATGTAGGTCATGAAACAATGGTTTACTGGGTAAATGGGGAAAAAAAAAACAGACTTTTACTATCATGAAGCTCTTGAAAAAGCAGTTAGTAAGTACTTTTTTGGAGATATTTATTCACAGGACCCTACCATATTCCATGAGATACCATTATTTAAAGGTAACATGGTTTAGGACCACAGATTTAGCTCAGTGGCACCAAGCCTGCCTGGCAAGTGCAAGGTCCTGAGTTTGATCCCAGGTACCCCCCCACCAAAAAAAGTTAATGTGTTTAAAGTTACAAGTGGGACCATTATTAAGGTAGACCTCCCCAAATGAAGCAGTGAATGGCACAGATCTATTACCTAAGGCAGAGCTTATATCTAGGCATTCTGAGGACTGTACTATTACTAGTTCAGGGTAGCTAAATGAGGTCAAAGATGAATGGAGTAGAAAAGCAGGTACACCAGTAAACAAAGAACATAAACTTTCTGAGAGCTTTGAAAGTGAAAGTTTGATATCAGAGGGGATTAATACAAGATTTGAAAGCAAAGCCTCTGAAAAGATTGTGTTTCATATATCAACAATTAAAAAGCTTTAGGCATAACAGGAAAAATAAAACAAAGCACAAAAGTTATTATGTTTAGCAATATACAAGATTAATTTATTTTTAGTCTAGATTAATTTCTAGAAAACTAAATTTGGAAAATAAGCAAAGCTAAGGTTATATTTTTTTGGTCACTGATATATTTTGCTCATAATTTTTCATCTGTTAGCAATAGTGCAAACTTTATCACTATTAAAATAATTATTTTATCATGCTTTTTCCCTTTCCACTAATGATTTCAGATTCCAAATACTTTTTTAAAAGTCTTTTCTTCAGTTAAAAAAAAACAACACATACTTATTTCCAGAATTTTAAATATTATTTGGATTACTGAAAAAGTATGGTTTCACAAGAAGGCTTCTGCGCCTTCTTCAAAATCAGGACCAAAAACAAGGCTGAAACACCCAAAAGCAAGATGAGACTTCTCCAACATAAACTGATTGATCTTTTAGACTGAGACATGCTCCTATGTGACTTTAGATAGTAGTGAGGACACATGGTGTTAAAACCAAAATTCCATTAACTTACTGAAAGAAATTTGGTCCAAATACAGTGGCCAGATTTTGAACAGTCATGCGATTCTGGGCATGGTGCTTGGCTACTTTTGTCAAGAACCGGCAGAGGTATTTGAGCAGGCAGTAGTGGGTGTCTGGAAGCTCTTTTATTAAATCTCTTAAGCTACTCTTCTGCATGTCATCCTGACCATCTGGAAAAGAATAAAAAATGTTCTCAGGCATATTTCATGAACAAAAACAACAACAAAAGCACACAGATATAAATTCAAACATTTTATTCAGAAAAAACTTCTCAGAATCAGTGATAGGTCTTAAATTTGACTTAAGAAATCCTGAAAACCATGAATTTTACTTAGATGGTAAAATGGGTTTGTTTCAATTTTGTGTTTTCTTTCCTCAAATTATATAATGGTTAGGTTTTTAAACCTCCATTTGGTACATTCCTTCAAGGAGGGATATATAAGAAATGGAAATAAAGTTTAGAGTGATTTAAAAACTAAAGACTACTCATTTCTTATACCTTCATGTTATAAAAATAAACAAAGAACTATTTTTTCTTTCAGTGGGGACTAATTCAAAACAAGTCTAGATGTTTTTATATTAATATATTCTTGTTTACAACTGTGATCTAATTCCTAGCATTTAAAGATAGAAACAACGGCATCCAATAGTCTTTTTTTTTTTTTTTTTGTACCAGGGATTGGACGCAGGACCTTGCACTTGCAAAGGCAGGTGCTGTGCCACTGAGCTAAATCCCAGGCCTCAAAAGTCTTGATAATGGGTTCCTGATTTTGAAACAAAATCTCAAAACCTTTGGCAGATACTGTGTGGAGACATGAGATCAAATAAAACATAATAAAAATAGTTACAAATTTCTGACAATAACAACTTCAAAAAACAAGTGGCACTTTCATCATTTACTTCCAACTTTTGAAATATGATCAGTATTTTTTCCATGAAATAAGAGTGAGAAACAATGGGGAGAGAGAAAGACATATTCAGAGTTACACACTTAACAGAGTTACATGAAGTCCTTTATGACATAAGTGGAAGAATCACTAAGTATGTTCTCAAAAGGCAAAAGTAACTGTGAACAAAAAGTCTTAACGTCTACCTCCTTCTACCCAAAAGCATTTCCGTTTCCTCTGATGGAAGGTAGATTCACTCATTGGGAAAAGATATGAATGACCTCTAAATCAGCAGATTTAACAAGTGCATGCTCACACCTGAACTGTAAGTATTTATAATTCTTGAATCCTTGTTCACATATTTGATAGTTCAGTAAAGACCTTAATTTATTATATAGCATTGTTTCTCACTTCGTTCATACTGAGTGATTATACACTAACATACTGAGACTCTGTAATTTGTCCTTTGTGTTCCCAGAAATATGTGATAAATATCACCATTATTGCCAACCTGCTGGAATTTTAAAGAAAAGATTTCCTGCCTGTGAAAAATAATTGCTCAATACCTTCCAAGACTTACAGAAGAATGATTAGGGTAGCATGAAGATGCCTTGCAGGAAATGAAATTTATGACACTATATGACTATCCCTTATCCAAAAATGAGACCAGAAGTGTTTTAGATTTCAGATTTTAAATATTTGCAAAACACAATGAGATATACTGGAAATGGGAGAGCAATCTACACATGAAATCATTTCTGTTTCTTATATATCTTATATCCATAGGCTGAGAATAATTTTATACCACGCTTTCAGTACATCTGTGTTTAGACTGCAACGTAACACATCACATCAAGTGTGAAATTTTCCATTGTGACATCATGTAGGAGCTCAAAAGGTTTTGGGTCTTTGAGCACTTCAGTTTTTATTTTTATTTATTTATTTATTTTGGTACCAGGGATTGAACTCCAGTCCTTGTGCTTGCAAGGCAGGCCACTGAACTGCTGAGCTAAATCCCCGGCCCTGAGCACTTCAGTTTTTAGATTTAGAATACTTCACCTATATGTAACTATTTCTACCTACATTATTTTTTGATTTGCTGATATCTAAATAATATTTTATTCACTCATGTTTTTGTACTTCCTTCCATTGGCAATTACAATGGTTTGCAATCGCTTCTATTATTATGTACACTTATACATAATGTACACTGATTATCCAATGATGTTTATCACATGCTGATTCTGGCATTCTCCAACACCAAGGAAACAGCAAAGACAAAGCAAAATCCATACTTTTATTAAACATGCTTTAACTGAGGGGGGACATAATAGACAACAATTAAATAAATTTAAAATATATTATGTATTGTTTATATCCCAATGCTGTGTGAGGAAGCCATGTAGGAAGGAGTTCAGTGTGGAAGAAAACTGTGATGGTTATTACTCTGGGATCTGTCAGGGCAAAGAGTGATTAACACTGTGGCTCCTAAAGCCAGTCTGAGTTGGAACATTCTGTACAGAAATCACCATCAGTCCTTGTGAATTTCCTAGACTCTCTGTGTGACCCAGCTGGATCTTATAAGATTTCACCTGAGAAAGAAGAGAATATAGGACTGGTCACTCGGGTCATTTCCAAGTGCCATGAAACTTGTGTGCTTAGCATTCAGTCCTTTCCGTCCCAACAATGATGGAGGAGGCCTCCTTGTGGAGGGAAATGCAGTGTAGGAGGATGTAATGGGTATTGGTCTCTGATTTGTGGGTGGAACAGTGACTAACACTATGGGACATCTGGAAAACAGAATCTTGGAAGACATGAGGCCAGGTTGAAGTAGGCAGCCCTGTGCATAAGACATCATTAACTAGAGGCAGAGCTTTAGCCCACTGCCTCTACAGCCTTCAACACTAAAACAAGAAAAGGAAAAACAAGAAAAGTGGAAAAGGCAACAACAAAAGGAGAAAATGATTTAAAAGTACCAAATAAGAGTTAAGTAGAAAAAAAATTTAGATCTTCAAGTAGATGTGATTAGAAAAGAACTTCCCGAGACATATCATAGTCAAAATCCTAGAAATTTCAAACCTCCAAATGAAACCTAACCAGAGACAATGAAGTCAACATCACTCAATAGCCCAAAGGAAACAATAAATACTGCTAAGAGAATAGTTAAGAGGAAAACAATAATAAACCAACGCTGGAAAATAATACCATGACAGGAATCATTAAATACTTTTCAATAATAATTCTTAATGTAAATGATCTTAATCCTAATTAAGACATAGGCAGGCAGAGTGAATCAAAAAGCAACACCCAGCGATATGCTGCCTGCAAGGGACACATCTTATCCACAAAGACACACACCAACTGAAAGTGAAAGCATAGCAAATCATAATCCATGCAGCCAGAATCTAAAAGCAAGGAGTAATTATTCTTATTTCTGATAAAGTTGACTTCAAATCAAAACTGATCCAAAGAGACAAAGAAGGTCGCTACATATTAATAAAGGGAACAATTCACCAGGAAGAGATAACAATTACAAATATATATTCTCTAAATGTCGGCACACCCAATGTCATAAAACAAAAAAAGTATTTGATATAAAAGTACAGATAGGTACAAATACAGCACATAGTATGAAACTTGAATACCCCACTCTCACAAATAGACAAGTCAACCAGACAAAAAAATCAACAAAGAAATATTAGGTAAGCCATACCATGGAATAAATTAATTTTTTTTCTTTTACTGAGTTTACTGGTACATTCTAGGTATACAGTACAGTTACATTCATTATCGGGATCTTGTACCTTTACATGACAGGTCTTGGTTCTCATTTTTTCCCCTTGGAACAAATTAATTTATCAGATAGCTACAGCGTTTCCTCCAACAACAGCAGAATATACATTCTTTTCAGCCAGTCAACAAGCTTTCTCCAAAACAGACTATATTTTATGCCATCTAGCATGACTTAATAAATAAAAAAGAATTGAAATCATCTCCTGCATTTCATCAGATCAGATGGAATGAAACTAGAAAACAGAAAAAAAAGAAAAACAATCACAGAAGTTATTCAAACACATGGAAATTGATTAATACACTTCTAGATGATCAATAGATCATAGACAAAATCGAAGAAACTATAAAATTTCTAGAATCATATGACACTGGGAATATAACACATCAGAATCTTTGAAACATAATGAAAGCAGTTCTAAGAGGGAAGTTCATAGCTCTGAGCACCTGTATTAGAAAAACAGGGTAATGCCAAATAAATAAATAAATGAAGCATGTCAGGGACTTAGAAAAAAGAATAATTCAAAGCCAAAACTAGAAGTAGTAAATAAATTATAAAGATGAATGGAAAAATCAATGAAATTGAAATTAAATAATACAAATGGCCAAAGAATCCAAGAACTTGTTTTTTGAAAAGATAAAAAAGATTGATAAACTCTTAGCCAAAGTTACTAAAACAAAGACCCATATCAGTGTACTACAAAAGGGTAAAATTATAATAGATTCTCTAATTTCAAGGAGCTATTTTGAAAATTAATTTGACAAAGAGACACACAAAAACATATTGTGGAAAAGATAGCCTGATAAATAGTACTGGGAAAACTGCTTATCCACATACGGGAGAATGAAACTATACCTGTTATCTCACATCTTGTACTAAAATCAAACTAAAATGGATCAAAGACATAGGTATTAAAGTAGCCACTTTGAAATTGTTGGAAGATAACATAGAGAAAACACTTGAATTCATTGACACAGGCAAGGACTTTCTGAACAGAGCTCCACTAGCACTAAGAATCAACAAATGGGATTATATCAAATTAAAAAGCTTCTGTACAACAAAACAATCAAGAGACTAAAGAGATAACCTACAGAATAGAAAAAAAATTGCCAGCTATTCTTCCGGTAGAAGACTAATATCTAGAACATATAAAGAACTCTAAAAAATTAATTAAAAAAAAAACAACCAAAAAGGTGGTCAAATGAAATGAATACACATCTCCAAAGAAGTATAAATGACTAATAAAGGCATGAAGAAATGTTCAGCACCTTTAGCCATTAGGGAAATACAAATCAAAACAAATACAAATGAAATCTCAGATTTCATCTCACTCCAGCCATAATGGCTATCATCAAAAACACAACAAATGCTGGCAGGATGTGAAGAAAGAAGAACATGTCAACATTGTTGGTGGGAATATAAACTAGTACAACCACTGTGGAAATATGTATGGGGATTTTTCAAAAACCTAAAATAGAAATTCTTTTCGACC